AGAGATATTGGGATTACATTGTAGAGATAGGTTCTATTAGCGCTCGAGAGAGGGAATAGAAATAAATTAGGGTTCTTACCTATAAATTTGGGAAAGAGTTAAGGGAAATAGCTATAGAGATTGAAAAACATGTCAATAATATGGTGAAATCATTTCCCTAGATATCCATAAATTGATTCAATCTTTAGAAATTGCCTCAATTTACTTACATTCTTTCTTTCATTTATATTAGATTAGCGTAAAAGTATCACTTTAAAAATTGATTGTCTAAATAAAGTGAAAATCGAACAATTATAGTACTCAGTAGAATTCGAATATCAACCCTTTTGGGTTCAACACTTTTCAATTCCTTACTATACTATAAAACTTGACATCGTATACTTGTGGTTAAATCAAGTTACATAAATCTCGTGGTAGCAAGACTCCATGATTGAGTTTATTGGATAGTGTAGTTTAGTTTTTGATTGATCGTAATCCCTTGACTTACATTGTAAAGTTTTGTCACATAATGCCAAATGAGGAGCTTGTTAGGTCTAATATTGTAATTGCCAATTTTGTGAACAAAATGGGCTTAATTAAATGTTTGTAAAAGTCAGTGACTTAATTGAACATTGTTGTAAAAGTCAGGGACTTGCGTTGCAATTATGGATAGTTGGTTAAGCTAGGGTTTGCACTTGGAACAAGGTAGAAGACTTGCCGAGACTTCGCTAGCTGCTCGCTTGGCCATCGTGCGAGCGTAAAAAATAGAAAGCTCGTCGTTTTCTCTTAGCCCCTACGTCGCTCGCTTTTCGCTGACTTGTAGCTCGAGTGACAGTGTTATGCGGCCAAACCCTAGGTCACGTTTTAGAGAATTTTATATGGCCCAGGACACTTATCTATCCCCAAGTATAAATACCAAAGTCTGGGACGTGAGAAACAGAGTTGCCATATTATTCTTTCATTGCATAACATCTACACATTTTTGTTCAAGAGATCCAATGGGAAATCGTTGGTGATTTACATCCACAACATCTAGTGATCTGGCAACTAGGTTTTAGGAAAACATCAATCTTCATAATCTAAAACATCACGCTTCCTTAATCTGTTGAGGAAGAGACTCTTTCATTGGGAGTTTGAGAGAAGTGGATTGAAGCGCAGTTATAAGTATAAGAACATGCGGTTCTCGGTATTCCACTTGGAGAGACATTCAGCAAAAGACTAGGAGACTGCAGGAGACAGCAGATTGGGTTGCATGAGGTAGGTTAGGAAGTCTAGCAGGAGACTAGAGTATCTACGGTAGCAGGAGGCTGTAGGAGGTAGATCATGAGGTCTAACAGGTGGCTAGACGCATCTACGTTAGTAGGAGTCCACAGTAGCTAGATCAAGAGATCTAGCAGGCTAGATGTATCTATAACAGTAAATCGTGAGACTGTGACAACGAGTCTTAGTGGGCATAAGATTTTGAATTGCTATGTCTTCCCTGAACTATTTATGATGGAGGTAACTGGCTTGGTTCCGGAGTTTTTCCCACGTTGGGTTTCTCCGTCATCAAATATTGTGTTATTTACTGCTTTCCAATTTATACAAATTGCGGCATTTAAACATAGGATTAAATTGGATTGTAACTTTACCATCTAGAACCTAATTAAAGTGACTTGTTACTTTGGTTAGCATAATTTCGCACTTAAGTTTGAAGTAATAAATTGACTAGAATGTAAACTTGGTAACTCAAAAGTTTGGATTGATATTGTAGCAAGCTAACAGATCTTTGGTAGATCGTTCTAGATTTTTTAGAATGATTTTTCAGGAGAGAGAATTTTTTAATTATGTATATGTACACATATAGAGAAGGAATTGGGAGATTGGGGGTATGGGATGGGTTGTGGTGATTGATGGGGGATGGGTTTTGATGATGGAATGTGGTGTATGTATTTGAGACGTAGGATTTTGGATAATTTTTCCTAAAAATATACTTATGAGCAGGATCCAATAAAAATTTACACATTAATCACAATAAACATAGCAAAAGAAGCCAATTTGCAAAACCTGTTCGATTCTCTGTCGCTCAGTGACAGGGCCGGCCTTGGCATAAGGCAGACAATGCAACAGCCTAGGGCCTCTGATTTTTTGGGGCCCTTGATTTTCTGGCCCTGTCTGGTAGATGCCATTGTTGCAGCAGCAGAATTTTCTGTATTGTAGGTTGAAGATGTTGAAGATAGGTCATTGTTGGGCCTAAATATTATTTTTCTTTGGACTTTTTTTTTTTTTTTTGAAAAATAGGCCCATATTGATTAACAGTATTCATAGCACATATAGGCTACCCAATATACCTCTTAATAAGAATTGAACAAAACTGATTGCAAATGAAACCTATTTGTTGTTGTTTTGTTTCGATTTAATATGGATATGCCATTGGAGAATTTGTCATCTGTGATAAGTTGAAAATTTAAACTTGATCATAGTCCCAAGACTCCCAACCTTGTTCACAAATGGTTTAATTTATGTTTAATGTGTTATTTATGTTTAATTTTCATAAACATCCTCCATACTTTGACATCTCCTTTTAGAGTTGTAGATTCGTTCGTTCTACTGGGGTAACCTTTTGGGTGAATGATAAAAAGTCCAATGGTATATAGTCCAACAATAAAAAAATTGGATTAGGAATCTATAAAGTAAAAATTTTAGCAAACTTACTATGGTGGGTAAATTTTCATGAAGAAGTTTTTAAAATTCCATATGTACTTTTACTATTTACTTTTCAAGAAACTAACATCCTATGTATCTATTTTTAAGTAGCAGTCCTTTTGTAAAAAAATTATTTTTAACACCATCCATATCCATTTTTAAAGTAGTATTACGTTTGTAAAAAATTATGCTTAAGGGCCTCATAATTATTGGTTGCCTAGGGCCTCAAAATTCTTGGGGCTGGCCCTGCTCAGTGAACTACGAGTCTGAAGCTCTTCACCCAGCTAGTTGAAGGCAATTTGTTCACTATGGACCGCGTAGGCTGTTCACGAAATATTTCTTTCGATTTAAATTACTGCAAATGTACGGGTCGTGACAAGTAAAAAAGTGGACTTTAGAAGTTCGAGTATCATCCCACAGAGAAAGAGTAGTTCAATTTTATTTGTTTTAGCATTAACCGAAACTAATTGACTTAAGATGAATTTTAGAATTAAAAGCCTTAATTTTGGGAGAAATCCCCAAATTGAAGAACCCTAATTTCAAATTAAACCCTAATTACTCAAATTCACTTAACGAATGACTCAATTACGAAATGTTATGAAAATAAATGAAATGTATTGTCAATTTATGAAAATCTATGTAAAACGAATGCACTAGGATCACGAATCCCCAAATAATTATTAAGTAAACCATAATTTCACAATTTTGATAATCCAATGAGAATTTGACAAATCAATGCTCCTAAATCTATTCAGTACTTTCTCTCGAGATGTATTGAATCTATTCTCATAAATCACCAGCCTATATTTCTATGACGGATGCAATTATACAGGAACGCATGTATTTTTTTTTGTGAGCAATTAAAGATTTACATAAGGCATAGGGGTATATTTCTATCCCCTATCGGACCCTATGATGAATTATATATGTCGAGTTTAATCCAATTTTCTCAAACTCAGAATTAAACCACCAAATTCACACAAATTAAGTGCACATTAATTGTGGAAACAAATAAATCAATATAATTCTTTCAAATAATCCCATCGAACTATGAATTCAAAGTCATGAAATAACAGGTTTAATAATAATTACATGGTTCATCGATCACCTAGTTACAGAAATCTATCCTATCATGATAAAAATAACGAAATCTATCAAGTTTTGAATAAAATACATCATCGGGTTATCAAAACTTGAAGAAATCTTGTAAATCTTCGCGTCAATCCTTGTTCTTGCCTTCAAATCCTCTTCAAAATGAATGTTTTTGCCTCCCAATTCGTTCCTCTCGGCTTCTAGACGTTTTTTTTTACTATTTAAACCTGTCGAAATTAGGTTACCAAAGGAGTTGCAATCATATAAGGAACTGCAAAAATCGGGCACAGTTTATACCTATGCGACCGCATAGGCACAACCTATGCGACCGCATAGGTATATGGATTTTGGAGTTTTTAATCCCTGGAGGGTTACTCGCGACCGCATAGCTTTTCTACTATGCGACCGCATAGTAGAGTGAACTTCCAAATTGAGTCATTTTGATCCTCAAGTTTCATTCCTTCACTCCTTGACCTCCTTTCTTGTTTCTAGTTGCTCCAATGTTCCATTATAACTTCCAATTGGTGCTTAGCCTGATCAATTGCTTGATGTGTTCATTGGATCAACTTTCAAATAATTGCAATTTGGTCCCTGAATTTTCATTTTGCTCTAATTTGGTCATTTTTCGGCTCTTTTCTCCTGAATTCCACTATTTTCATAGAATCACCTACATTGCATGAATTCAACAAAATTAAGTCACAATTCAATCATTTTACTTGTATTTAAGTCATGTTTGTGATGTAAATAAGTGTGCAAAAACACACTTATCATAGGCCATGGCTTCTCTGAGGGGCTTCTGTTCGATTAGTTGGACATAAATCTAGTCGTGGACGACTGGGCTTTTACAATTTTTTGGCTGCCTTGTTTACAATCAAGATATTAGACGAGGAAGTGTCAACTGGATTAACTTTGCTAAACCATTTCTCCCTTGTTTGTACTTTAGACAGATTTGCAATTGTAACATGTGAATATAATGCTGTAAGCTGAATTCTTGGCATTGTCTTAGAGAAGATCTTAACTTAATTGGAATTGGTCTATTTCATCCTCCAACATTTTAGGATGGGAAATTCACCCTCTTTGCTCAAATCTCATCTGGGAAAATTTGATCCTTTCTGTTTCTTTTACGCAATCATTTGGAGCACATATCTTAAGATTTACACACTGTTACAACAATTCACCTTTTATTTGCATACCAGACGGATAACTACTAGCTATATATTGCTACTCTTTCTTTACCGCAAGAAATGGATAACTTATTTGGTGAAATTGATTATCGATCAAACTCCGACTCTATAGTGATGAGACTTTTGAGATCTGCCATGGATAAAGCTCACGAAAAGGTGCAATCTAAGGATGGACCTATCGAGTTTTTACATGAGAGATCAAAATTTTATGAGTTGGCAGCTATTCTTGTGGAGGGAGGTTTGAACATTGTTCAAGAGAAGGCAGACGACGTGGAGGACAACCGGGACAAAATCTTATCAGATTTGATGGAAATCAGACAATGGCTCCAGGGACGGATCAAAGATATGAAACATCTGATTGTAAAGAAAGATAAAGAATTGACAGAGAAGTTAGAAAACGAGTTGAAGCTTAGGCATTCACTGGAGTTGAAAGAAAGAGAAATTTTATGTCTACACGAAAAATTAGAGCCCGGAAGAATGAAGACTGAGGGCTTACAGGATTCCCTTATAAGCAATGAGGCAATCAAGGATCGAGCTATAGAAGGGGATATTTGTGAGTTGAAGAATTCATTAGATCAGCAGGTACTGAATATAAAGCAAAAACTGGAGGATGAGCACAACAGTCTTAAAGTTGACTCGAAGAAAATAACGTCCCATGTTTCCAGTCCTGATATCTGCTCTGGATTCACAGACGAGGAAATACATGGAAATTCAGGTTTCAAAGAGAAGGAATTTTTTTGGGATGACAAATTTTCCCGTATACCTGAACCGAACACATTGATCAGGTGGATGAGTTCAGACATTGATGATTTGAAACAAACTTTGGATCTTGCATTTGGGAGAATGCAGAGTACTGAAGTGCTCCCACTGGAGAAACAGTGGAGATGGACCATTGAGAAAGATATCGAATCAATCTTGGTAAAAGGCTTCACAATCGATCTCCAACAAAGTTTTGAAGGAGAAATAACGAAAAGAATTTGTCTCTTGAAAGATAATTTGTCAGAATTCATCATTGAGATGAGAACCATATGTTATGAATTGAAGTCTTGTTATATTAGTAATGGGGTAGACGACGAAAGGCAGAATAAGCAGAGCAATTCAACTCCTCTCCATCCTATACGCAGAGCAACTAGTGAGCCTTTACTTGATTACCTGGAAAAGTGGCCTGAGGAGCACAAAAAAGATGATGGAAGCCATCGTATACGGAAACCATCCAAGTATGATGGATATTCTAATAGCCTGGAAACGAGGATAGAAGATGCCATATCAAGATTGGACAACCTTGTCAAAAGGAAACACAATCTTGGAGATAAAAAGGGTGTTTCAGACAGATATGGAGTTCAAGTGAGGAGGTTACCGATGCCTGATAGGAAAACTGAGACTAAAAAAATCACCAGTTGCGAAAGCTTAAAACAAGAAATTCGAAAACTTAAAACAGAGAGGAATGACTTGTCTATGCAGATTTTATTAATGGAAGACACTAACCAAGTTCTTTTTCAAGGCCTTGTCGAAGATGTTAATACTAAATTGTGTCTTTATGACACTGTGAGACTAATAGAGGATAGACGCTCACTAAAGGAATTTACCCATTATCACCAAAATGCATCTGCTCAAAGTAATCATGATGAGGCTGATGGTGAATTCTACAATTCAACCTCACCTAGAATTTTGCGGCATTACTTGGAGAGCTCAGTCAGGGAGGATGTGTATGTTGTCTTTATTCAAAAAACAGTCGAGGAGTGGAAGAAAACTGTGGAACGCTTTACAGACGAGAGTATTTCCCAGGAAGAGACAAAAGAGAATGCCTCTGATCAAGCAATCAAATATACTGATAGCAATGCACCTCAGATTCTGAACCAAATTCATACTCCCGAGCCCATAACCAGTCCATTAAATGAAATGTCTGAATCATGGCAGATGGAAAGAGATGCTTATTCCCTTGAGAATCTTATTCGGGAAGATATTTATCATTTTATCATTATTGAGGCTGTGAAAGATTTGCACATCCCTTTTAAAAGATCAAAATCATTACTACATCCTGATTTTTCAGAAGACACACCTCGTTCTAGGAAAACTGATGGAGATGAAAGGTTCATAGAGAAGTTAGATTGTCTGACAAAATGTTTGGAAGTAGAGGAAGACTTGATGTTAAGAGCAAGTTCTGAAATAAAGGCACATGGTGCAAAAAATGACCTTGAGGTCTTGGATTGTGAAGAGGCAGATGAGCGTAATGCCATTGAATGGCTGTTGACAGACGATGAAAGGACCTTCAGTTCAGTGGGTAAAAAACTAGAAGGGGCCTTGCAGCAATTGCAGACAAGCAGAGAGTTGGTGGTAGAATTGGAACAAAGTTTAGAAATATCTGATGACATGGAAGAAAACGACCATGCTGTGCAACTAAACAACATCTTGAAGATTAAACACGAAGAACTTCAAAAGGGTAACAATGAATTTATCGAGATGATCCCGTCTGATAATGTCTTGTCAATTATCATACAACTTCAACAAGAACTCCAGGATTTTGAGATCACGATAAACAAGAATCTAGATATGAAATGTCAAAGGTACTCTATTCTTTCTTTAAATGCAGGCTGTAAGCTGATGTATTAGTTTATCAACTGGTCTGGAATCACATAATAATGAATATAGATCAAAAGCTTTCTTGCCTATCATCAACCCTGAACTTGGATCGAGTTAGTGAGGCATTGAATCTACCATAAATTTTGTCTGTCTAAGCTTACTATGCTGCTACCCAATATAGTAGTAAACGAAAAGGCAGAAAATTAAGCGCGAGTTTATTTTACTCCACCAATATTTTTCCTGTTGTCATGGCTAGCCCGAGATTTCCTGTTTCTGCTCATATACTGTTTTAGACTTACGGACTTAGACTGCTTTCACTTCATTCAGGCTAGAAGCATTAACGGGTCAAGTGGATGCAGTAATCAAAGCAGTGGCTTCCATCAGGAAAACAAAATTACTCTACGAGAAGGCTTTTATTTCGCGATGTCATAATTTGAAACTAGCTGAATCCGAGGTAACCTTACACCATATGTTTTATTTCCTTCCAATATCTTGTTTTATCTACAGTTTTTGATAGGGCACTCTGAATATCACCGGACGTCCAAAATTGTATTACTAGTACATAAGTAGAATTATTATTATTTATTTATTGTTATTATTATTTTTTTTTTTGCAGGTTGATTTACTTGGAGATCAAGTGGACACCCTCCTGCTGCTCCTTGAGAAAATATACATTGAACTGAATCAAAATGCTATTGTTTTGTCGCGCTACTTTGGGGTAAGCAATTTTAGTGATCTTGTATGGTTTAATGTCTAATAGTTAGTCTAATTTTCTTGTAAAGATCCTAAATCATGATCTGAGTAGCAAAAGTTCGACAAAGAGGAAGTTCCATTTCAAAAAAGAGATTCTATTTGTTGGGAATTTACATAATCATGCATGATGAAAAATAAAAATATTTTCAATCCTCACTAAGGATCTACTTTTTGTTTAGATGAAAATTGGGATAGGAATTATACCTTTGTTGAATTTTACGAACTCCTTTGCTATTCTTGCACATGAACAATCACGATTTGCAATCCACATCTATTTAATTGTCCAGATTCCAATGAAAATCCATGCGGGAAACAAAAATGAAATAACTTGGCTTTATCTTTTCTTGTGCTAACACGATAATAATTGTGTTATATGCTATGATTCTCAAACTCAACAACTTATTAATAGAAGTTTAAATGGGCTTAGCCTATTACTTAACTTAATCCAGTCCAATATTTTTTAATCTAATTAAATTTGTTTCATAAATTAATTAATCAAATTAATTAACTCGGACATATTATCAAGCAACCCAATTAATTAATTGTCCAATGCTTGTCAATCTATTAATAAATATCATTATTTTAATTCTCCTTTTGTGTGTGATTCATTAGGTTTCTGATCATGATGCTTAAAGATGTAAATTATTATTTTAATCTAATCAAAATCGATAAATTAAAATATCACTTTTTAATTTATCATTAATTCATATTCATCATTTCAAATTGATATCTAGCAATGTGTCAAGACAATACATGTTATGAAAAATGTTGTATGGTATGACAAAATTAAACTTTTTTATTTACCGTAAAACTACAATCCCTTCATTCATATGATCAGATGAATTACGAGATATGGATGTGTGTCAATCTCGATTATCCACCATATCTTTTCTCACATTATTAAGTCAATATAAGTCGAAAACTCCTTTCAACTTATGAGTATACATTAGCCAAGGATTTCGTTATCAACTTAATTGAATGAAATGTCATAAGCTCTTACTACGAAGAGTAACGAATTATTTATTGATCATTCATAATCTTCATATGATTCGTAACATACCCAAACGATGTTGTATTAGCGATTCTTGACAGAGCAACATCCAATATTACCGAAGTATGATTGTTCCCATATAAGACACTATGATGACCTTAAATCAATTGACCAATTCCACTACCAAATGTTAGAGATTAACTACTGGTACTCAAATAGTTTTCCACGTCAAATCTCTTTAGCTGATCTCCAGTATTTTGCCATCTTAAAAAAATATTCATGTGTTTATTTAAGTGTCACTATAATTTTAGTTTCCCAGATTAACTATTTACTTCACAAGTAAGAAATGTTATACATGATGGTCTATTCGTAATAACGATATTCATATTTAATTGTTACATACGACCATGGATGTTTTAAGTTCTGTCATATATAATTTGCATCTTACAATCACAACTCCTTGTAATTAAAAAGTTATCGAGATTTGAATCTACGAACTCTATTATTTAATTTATTAAAACATTAAATTAATTAAATAATAAACCTCTCATAAATAGAATGCGTCAATTATATCAAAAGTATTTATGTCCAATATCAATTAGATCTAGGGCACAACACTTACAAACTTTCACTTGCACTAGATAATATCATAAAAGTTTGCATGGCAATCATATTTATGCCATGACAATTCTTTATCATTGGATCTAAAATTTAATAATTTCTAGGAATTTATTCTTTTATTATGTCATTTCTTTGTATTATCTCTCTGATGTGATGATACTATCTTAATACATGTTTGAACTGTCGAGAGACCTTAGTTCATTCTCTTGCGTGATGGCTCCATTATTATCACAATATAAAGCTGTGAAATCAACAACATTAGGAACTACTCAATGAACTTCCTGATCCAGAACATAACTCTTTGTCGCTTCTGAGCAATGGTGTATTAGGCTTCCGTTATTGAATTGACAATTATTTCATATTTCGAACCTTTCTAACTAACCGCTCACTTATTAAGAGTAAACATATATTATATTGAAACTTGCTATCTTCTAGTCTCACTAGAGGTTAACACCAATGTATCAGTTCATTTTCTCTCTCTATAAATATTTTAAAATTTTATCTATATAGACTGGAAGATGTTAAGCAATCTTCTAGATGGGAACGTTGTTTCCTATTAATAATATATCTTTACGTATAATATCAAGAATGAATCAACGCTCTCACTATCTTTATTCATCTTCATTTTTATAAAATCAAACATTTTAATTGTCTCATCAAAGCGAAAATTTCAACTCCTAGAGGCTTGCCTTAACCCATAAAAAGATCGACCAAGCTTGTATACTTTGTTGGCTTCTTTGGATTCAAAACTTTCGAACTGTGTCATGTACACTTTCCCTTGCAAGTTCATGCAAAGGATTGTAGTTTTGACATTTAAGCTTTAACATGGCTACAGGTGAAAATGTTTCATCAAATTTAACTCTTTATCTTTGTATATAATCTTTTATTACTAGCATTTCTTTGTATGTATTTATGTCTCTATCTATGTTGACCTCGTTTTTGTAAACTTATTTATAGCCTATAAGTTTTACCTAATCAGGCAAGTCAACCAAGGTCCAAACCTTGTTTATATACATTGAGTTCATTTCGGATTCCATGGTCTCCTACTATCTTTTTAAGTCAACATTTGATTTTACATTTATGTAATTAGTAGGTTCATCATCTTTGATTAGTAATCATGGATTAATACCTTCTAAGATGTTGAATGATCCTATAAAATTATATGGAGCTGATGTGTTCTCAGGAATCTCGACTTCCTGGTCAAGAGTATGTCACTCAGATGGTGTGGGATCATACTCAAGTTCATATACTTTTTCAACTATATTTGTGGATTCTTGAACTCGTTCGAGACTTATTTTGTTCCCATTTGCTTCTTTTGGAAATTTTACAAACATGCATTTATCGGATTTAATCTCAATCTTATTTGATTCAGTGCGCTTTACATAAGTAATATATCCCTAAAATTTAACATGAGACAAGTTGGGCCTTCTGCCTTTCCATAACTCATATTAAATTTTGTCAACTGATTTAAATTGGACATGATTTTAGTGTGAAGCACGCAACAATTAGTGTATGACCCTAAAACAATTTTAGGAGATCTGCATGGTTCATGATTATCGCACCATATCTAATAGTATACGACTTCTCCATTCGGATACACCATTAAGTTGCAAATTATATGTGGAGTCTACTATGAGAAAAATCACATTCTCTTTTAGGTAATATAAAAATTCACATTTAAGATATTCTTTCACCTTGATCAAATTTTAGTGTAAGAATGCCTTTATCTATTTGTTTTTCTACTTTTAGTTTGAATCCTTTGAACCTTTAAAGAGCTTTATATTTGAATAATTTTATTAAGTATACATGACCATTTCTGAAATAGCCATTAGTAAATGTGATTAAATAAGAGAAACCTCACATAGCATTAATTGACATGAGTACACATACATCACTATATATTAAGCCAAGTAATTGTGCGGCTCTTTCTCCTTTTCCAATGAAAGAGAATTTGGTCATCTTGCTCAACGGCCTAATTCGCATTTGTCAAATGATTCAAAATCAGTTGATCCTAAATATCCATTGCTATGTAATTTGGAAATGCATTTCTCATTTATGTGACCCAAACTACAATGTTAGAGATGGGTATTATTTTGATTATCACTTTTATACCTTTTAATTTCCATACTGATTATCGGATATTCAGTATTTAGAATATAAATGTCATTTTGTCATTTACCATAGTTATTAATATCTTATCAAGATAAAAGGAATAACAATTGTCCTTAACATTAATTAAAAAATAATTTATGTCCAAATATGAAATTGAATTAATGTTCTGGGTAATGGTAGGACCGAAACAACATTTATCTAATTCTAATAGTACTAAGCCTAAAAACAATGATAAGAAGTATACTTCTATAGGTAACGTAGCAACCCTTGCTCATTTTTAACGAACATGTCAACTTCTTCTTTTTGCATTGGTCTATTTTTATTTAGTTTCTGTACATTTACACAAATATGAGATCCATATCTGATATAAAATACCCAAAAAGCTACTAAAGTAGACAAAAGCTTTGTAGGTTTTCTTCCAATGACATTTCATTCCACAATGATATTAAGGGTCATCAGACTTGATAATGTCCTTATTTTCTTTGTCTGCCTTAGTCATCTTCGATGCTTTCTCAAAGCATCTTTTAGACTTCTTCTTAGTGCCCTTCGAGGAATCAATGGCCAAGACTTGCCCACTACATACTTTGATGTTGGGCTTAACAGTCTCATTAAGTATGTTCAACAACTTAGAGAGTGTGCACTCGAGTTTATTTATATTAAAATTCATAATTAGCTATAAAAAATTCTCTGGTAGAGATTTCAGAACCAATTCAATACTTTAATCATGGTCTATAACTGAACTCAATTGAGACAACTTCTCAATGTAGTCAACAATCATTAGTACATGAGCATTGACTTAAGATTCTTCTGCCATTATGCACTGGTATAGTTGCTAGGAAATCTCATATGTTTCCACATGTGATTGTTCATCGTTCAACTTCATAAGATGAAAAATCAGCGTGTTAGCATTTATTTCCTCATGTTGCTTTTGTAACTCAGGTTAAATAGCTGTAATCATCACACATGTTGCAATAAAATCATGATCACTGTATTTATTATAACAGCTACACTTCCTTGGTCGAGTTATCAGTAAGTGTCTATGAAAAGGGCTACTCAAGGATATAATCATTTTTCTTATGCATGAAAATAATTTTCAGATTGCGGTGCTAATCAAGAAAAATTAGGCCTGGCTGTTGGCATCTAGTATGCCTCCCAATTTTATATGATTACTCATAATTTAATAAACATAAATGACGAAAAATAAAAGAATAATATATAAAAATATATCAATTAATTTAATATGGCCTTTTATTATATTAATTATGGTCCCAATATTGAACTCAAATTTATGACCTTTTCACGTAAAT